AACCCCAGACTATACCCATCCTTAAATAATTTCCCGTTCCTGGTTTTGCGTGACAGCGTCGCGCAGCTACCTTATTTACTATTTTTAAAGGTATGGTACAGTACTGTACTCAGATTTATTAATAATTATTCTTACAAAATTCTTATACAGTATATGGTAACTTATTAATTTTGCACCACGCAATGCATCTTATTTCGTTTCAGTTTAACTAGTGAGTATAAAAGATGTTAATTAATAAATTATTTAAAATATGTATATAGTTTAAAATTTATTAATCTTTATTCTTAATTACTGAATAAGATGGGTGGCGCAAAGCGCACAGTATATCGTAATTTTAAACTTTAAAATGATCAAAAGTCACATGAAATAACATAGACCAATACTCTTCATAACAACTACGTACGTACGCACAAAAAATAAAAATAAATTTACAATTCTAAATTTTTTCTGACTCAATAACGATAACGTGTTCTATATTACGCTGTCCCACAAAATTATTAATATTATATAGTACGTATATAGATATTATATACATACAGTTGAATTAGTATCGATAATGGCATAAATCCATATTAAGATCGCTTGAGATTAATTTCAATAGCAGTATTTGCCGGCGTCCCCTTGTTTAAAATATAAATATAAGTATGCCGCCCTGGTGGCATGATATTAGGGTGTGGTGGTAAAATAACATCAACAGAGTATCCTGATGGGATTGGTACTTGGTTTTTAGTTCGTAAGCTTACATATCGTGAAGACATGTGCTGTGAATGTGTAGAGAAACCAGGATGAATTAAAGCAGAAGTAATGTTTGCAGAGCTGTCATCTAGATCCATCTTAATAGTAACTGTCTCTCCATATTTTACTTGTATTGATGTTAAGGAATTGAAGTTTTTTATACCCTTAATACTCTTAATAATAGGCCGGGGAATGCCTTTGAAAAGATATGCAGGTTTAAAAATTTCTACGCGGTATCTAAAAATTTTATAAAAGTAAAATTAGTTTAATTACGCCTATGAAATGTGAAAATTTATTTATTACTTAGCTTACTCTGTAGGGTATTCACAGGTATCGATGTCACAATGCTCAAGATTTGGATTACTGCCAGCAACAAAAACTGTACCATCTGGGATCAAAGTTGCAGATGAATGATAAACACGGATGATTTTAGTTTCTGCCATCCTAGTGAAACGAGATCCAAGAGGTGCTTTAGGATCATAAAGTAATGGTATCTTTTGAGGTAAACTTGCTGAATGAATTCTGTTGTTAATGTCACCCGTGTCTATTAAAAGAAATAAAATTTGATATTTCCACGAGATACTAGAGAATAAATACTAAAGGTACAAAATATTATAGATATTTAAAGATTAACATACCCCAACCAGCGAATCCTCTACCAGCACCATTTACAATAAGTACTTTGCCATCAGGCATATAAATGTAATCACCCATTAAACGTCCTGTATCACAATCTCCGAAAGGTTCTAAAGTCCAATCAGAATCTGGTTTCGCTAAGTTAAGCCTTGCGCAATCTTTATTACTTTTTGCGTCGGCTTTTCGCTCAGCAGATCCACCGCAAGCGATAATTTCGGCAGCATAATTATCTTTATAGTGTAATGGGGAAAGAAAAATCGTGCCGGTAGCCGGAAACGTGCGTGGACCACCAGGAATATCTGGCAATGTCCTAACTATTTCTTGTTTAATATAATCCCAAATCAGAGCTTTCTTGTTAGCTGATATGTACAACCAAGTTTGATCTGGTGGACCGGGGAGCACAAATACTGCTGGATATAGATTATATGGTAATCTAAATTTTATAAAAAAAAAAAAAAACAAATTTTTTTTTTTTTTTTTTTTAAATCAAGAATTGCGTCGATCGGCATGTAAAAGAACCAGGACTACTCACGTATCTACAAGAAATTGGAACTTTACACTCTTAGATGTTTTAGGATAAAATTCATACGTAGGATTATTGGCCGAAGCGTTGTTAAAGGGCGTTCCTATTGTTGATCCTCCGATATTGAAAATTCTACCATCTGGAAGCGTTACCATAGTATTATACCATCTTGCAGTGTCCAAATATGCAGGGAATTCTAACCAATCGCAACTACCGTCATCGCATGGATGGAATAATCGAAGCGATTGGAAACCATTCAGTGCACCAAACTGCGTAAAATGGATAATTTATTAAAACTTTTCTAAAATTTCAAATTATTCTGTTTTATTAACTGTCCGAAAGCTTACATCATCATCGTCACCACCAGATTCAACTAATGTACCATCTTCAAAGAAAGACCCAGCAGAACAAAAAGTATTTGTTTTTAAGCTAAGAATACGACTATTGCCCGTAGTTAAATCATACTCTACAGAGTATGCATAACGTCCATCAGGGTACACTGCCTCAGGATTCTTTCCAGCTATTTTGCAAAATTTAAAATTTAAAATGTCAATTATTAAATGCGTAAGCAAGCACACACAGTGATTAAAGATTGGAGCCGTTTAATCATTTACTGATTAATCGGTCATAACAATTGTGATTAGTTAAAGAGCTAATCAATAGAAAACGCTTTTGTTGTAAATGGATTCGATTTAAGGTGTTTTTTTGGACTTTAATAATTAAAAATATTATTTGATAATTATCTTAAATCATCGTATATTAGTAATCATATTTTGCTTGGCTAAAGAATATTTTGGTTGTTCTGTTCAAATTTTATGATGAATAGTATCCCATGGTTTCAGCAATAACAGTAAGGCAGTAAATATTTAAGATGATATTATTCATCACAGTTTCAATTCGGCTGATTTAAGGAATTTGACCATTATTTAAATCCCTCATATAGTATCAACTTTTTTGGTAGATTTGAGTTTAAATTCAAGTTCCCATTATTACATATTGGGCTTGATATAACTATGAACCACAATTTTCAAATAAGGGTCTAATTTCTAGAAATAATTGGGATTTTGGATAAAGGCCAATTTCAAAAATCCGCCGAATTGTGGGATGTCCGAATGGTTTAGGTAACATCGCTAATGTCGATATAAAATTAATGATTTGACAGGCAGTTTGACCTGACATAATTGTTTGACTTGTTCCAATTTTTACGCAGTATATCTGACTGCAGCCAATAAATACCTTTATCAATGAGAATAATTTTTGTGGGTCGAACTAAAACAAGATGCATAGCCCCTACTATAGTTCTAAGAAATAACGAAAAAATGGTTAAAAATTAGTCAACCTTTTAAAAATTTATGGTACATACTTTTTGATCTCTTTCCATTCTCCTATTATAGAGGAATCAGCTATTTTAAGAATTTTAAAGATAAGTAATTGTAATGATATTTAGATCGTGAACACGAGAATTTTCTTTAAAGCAATCAATTACCTTGAGCCACCGCGTCGTATAGAACGCCGCCTATTGTAATTATTAAAAAATATAGAAATGTAATTTTCATGTTCAAAGATTAACTTATAAATTCAAAACTATCAATAAATTTTTCATTGCCTTCATGGGTGGTATTTATTGGTTTCAACCACTTTGAGAATAAAGAAATTTAATATATGTATTCAATAACTTAGTTTTAAATTTTATTTTTAGTAATAATCATACTTTATTCTGGATGTACCCATTGATGCGAAATAACGCCAGGAGTTAGAGGCACACAATTTAAACGATTCGGAGCGTTATTTCGTGCAAATACGATATATGCACAGCGAAAACTTCATTTCTACATACACACATACGCTCAGGATATTATTTATTAATACTTTATTTTGATTCCTGTATCGATATTACTGTAAAAGTGTACATAGAAGATCTCAAAATAGTAGACCCACCATGAATTAGACCCGAGTGCGAAGCGGAAACCTTTATTAATCATATGGTTTTTTCATTTAGCTAAACTCCTGTTATAAATAAAAAGTGTGTAAGCATTTTAAATTTTTCATTTCATGATATAACCTCACAGCATGAACTAGACCCGGATTTACTTAAGTGTTTTAAAATGAGTAAAATGAAATAGATACGGGACATGTATATGCATATTATTATTATTGTGTTAGGAGAGCGGTGTAATTAGCGCCTAATTTAACACCAACAATAATTTAGATTGTTTCATTAAATGTGCCCCATGCATTTAGTGCCTCTAATAATTAATATAACATAAGATTTATTATACCGAAACTTTTTAATTTCTTTAATATCAAGGTAGGGTAAAACATAGTTTATAGTAAATTTTAGCAAGGAATATTTTTACTTAATACCTCGATAGGGTTTCATAGTCAAAATTTTGAGATATAGATCTCCTGAATAATTGTGATCTTAAGTGCGGCAATATTATTAGAGATTTTATCCTGCTTCGTGTAATATAAAATAGTTTTATTAAAAATAGATTAGATTAATTTTTATAACAAGAAACTTTATTTGAAAGATATTAATAACAAGTTTAATTAGTAGCAAATAATTAAAAAATCATACTCGAAACAAATAATTGTTTCCGATTAGTTTTAAGCAAAATGTTAATATCTACATACTGAATTAAATTACTTACTGCAATAAATGAAGTAATGTTCTTAAAAAATAAAAGCATTATGTATAAGTTTAATTAGTCACATATCAAGAAGCAATCATAGTAATAATGAAAATTTTCATTAAGGGATTTCAGAATTAAAAAAAAAAAAGTGTATTTCGGAAATAAGTGAGTTTAAAAAATCTTGTGTATCCAAATTTTGAATACGGAAAATGAAATGTAACGAAATAAATAAACTTTTCAACGACAAAAATCATTATTTCAAACTTATTGGAAAATGAAATAAAGTCGATACATCGCTCATTTGAATATAAATACGTTATCTCTTTCCGTCAAAATTATATTTCTGCACATTAATTCTGAAACCCCTTATTAAGCAAATTTAAGCATTTTAAGCAGGATAACATCCAAAATTTAATTACGTAAGATCACAATTTTTCAGGGAATAACCCTTTTACTTACCGGTTTTTCCTCTCGAGTACTCATTTATGATGTCAATAATAGAATGTCTTGTTCACACAATACAATAGTTCAGAATTATAAATCGGTCAGGGTCAAAAGTCTATGGAGTCACTGATCTTAATTTGATATTAAGAAATCTGTAATATTAGGTGCGTTATCGGCTATTATCGATAAAGCTGCGTATATAATTGAAAAATAGGGAGTCTAAATATACATTCTATCGCTATGTTTAGATAATTTAAACATTTGTAAATGGACAATTTTATTAACAATTTTTTTTTTAAAAAAAAAAATTTAAAATAATTCGCTCATGACCGCCTTTAGTAGCAGCTCGGATACATCCGGGTCAATCCGGATCAATCAAATATGAATTGGATTCATATCCACCTGGGTAAATATGAGCGGATCAATTCGTCGGTTGACCCGTCGTTAAACGCTAATAAAAAGGTCTGTAAAACAGATTCTCGTTTGGCACAACTTATAGATTCTCTCCCAGGCATTATTAAATACATCGAATTTGGCTTAACGGTGTTACCCTTCAAATTTTTCATCGCCTCACTTGCGCGTGCTACCTTTCTTATCCGTCGTTATTATTCTTCTTATTACTTTATCATTATCTCATCATTATTAAGTATCATCCCTATTATTGTTATACCCATATTTAAATTATTATTTCATAAATAGTTTGACCAATCTTATGTTTATTGTTACCATATCATCTCTATCAATCAAGATTAGGAACATTCAAACATAGTGATTGACAGATCCACGCCTAATACTGGATGTAATTGGTGGACGCCCATAGCGCTAGCTCTCCCACAAAAAATTGGTCACCCCTGTAATTTGACCAATCGAATTTCAGGATCAGATGTAACGTAAAAAATCGAAAAAACACGTTTGTTTTGACGCCTGATCTTAAATTTTGATTGGTCAAAATTACCGGGGATGAACAATTTTTTGTGGGAACGCTACTAGTGGGAGTTAGATAAGATTTTAGCTAGAGATTAAGGTGATGTGATAGCTTGAGTATAGGATATACTAAAAAAGAAATTTGTTGTTTTATCTCGATATCGTCTTTGCACTGGTGTCATTGAGTCGTATGTCACGTAAAGTAAAAAGTAAAGTTGTCCGGCCTGGAAGTTAGATGCTGCGGGAATTCTTATTTGTCCCTCCGTTTTTGCTCTAATAAAGTTTTTTTCTCAGGCTTCGATCTATCTAATAAACCAATAAATATAAGTTAGTAGGCATTTTAAAACCGAAGGCAACTTACTTATACACGGTTATCGAATTCTCCCACTTATCTGATTATTGTATTATTGTATTGCTGAAACTTGATTCGTTGTATTGTCATTTCGCCAAACCGATTATCAACTCATTCAGTTTATTGTTTAATTAATTACTGCATCGTTGTATCATTCTTAAATCTCTCTTAAATTGTTTATTGATCACTGATCACGTCTTATTATTATTGTTCTTATTACATTAATCGAATGGTTCACCCACTCTTTATTATTGTATATTTATTACTTCATTCTTATTATTCTCTTGCGTCCTTCTTCCCCTTTATCTTTCTTTAAATATCTAACTCTCCAACCACTTTTGCCTTCTGGCTTATTATACTGGGCTAAACCCAACTCCACTATAAACCTACGCTCTCCTAAACGATAGTAGCAACAGTTCCATTCATGATTGCATGGCTTGTGTCACGTTTACGATAAAAATTCTGCCACTCCACTCATGTCAGAATTGAAAGCATGAACCTTCAATTATCTGTTATTGGGGTCCAGAGTGTCCAGCTATTTCTAGCATCTATAATAGAACTAGCGATATCACGAAAACATCCAAACTAAATTCGATAAAACCTTTCTTATTTTATTCTATGAACATATAAAATTAAAATAGAACAAATTTGGTTGAATTTGGTTCTGTGGTTGTCGTAATATCGTTAGTGCTATTTTAGATGCTAGAAATAGCTGGACACTCTGTTGGGGTCTGAATCAAATTCATTTAAAAGCTGGTTATTGCCATCGCAAAAACATTCTAATTGACCAAGTGTAACAGTACTAAGTGCTGATTTTGGGTTGACGTCAGAAATTGTTGTAGTTAAAAAAAATAACCTTATGCGGAGTAATTTTTTTTTAATGACCTGCAATTTACATTTCTTTTCGAAGATACATATCGAAATAACGTTCTAAGTCTTTATTTTTAAATTGGTTTCAATGAGCGCAAAAGTTTTGAACAAGTGCTATATAGTGGCTTTCTTTAGATCTGTAAGATGAGTGCGATTATCGTTATTCGCAATTTAATTGTATTGCAATTGTTTTTTTTTTTTGTTTTTTTTTAACAATTTTAGTTGATTGAAATTGCATAACGATAATAAATTGATTTTTTCGGTCGGTTCCGATCAATTCACCGACCAAACGCTCATTTAGCCGACATCACATAGGGTTAGGGTTAAGCATTTGATTAGTTGCAGGTATATATTTTTACTAAATTTCACCTGGCGTGATGTCAGCTAAATAAGCTGTCGGTGAAGTGATTGAAATAAATAAAAAAAGCCATCTAATGTCATGCAACGATAAATATAAAATGATAATTCTGTCATTGATTAATACATCAAAACAAGTTAGGAAATATTAGTTCCTTTTTCTATTATATTAAACTGTAATACTCTTGGCGTTTAGACAGAATTTTCGATAATATAAGGACTAGAGCTCTTCTCCATAACGACCATGTACAAAAATAAAAATAAATTTACATTTATAAATTTTTTCTGCTCAATAACGATAATGTGTTCTATATCACGTATGTCCCACAAAATAATATTAATACTATTATATAGTACGTATCAACATATATTAAGATCGCTTGAGATCAATTTCGATAGCAGTATTTGCCGGCGTTCCCTTGTTTAAGATAAAAATATAAGTATGCCGTCCTGGTGGCATGATATTAGGATGTGGTGGTAAAATGACATCAACAGAGTATCCTGATGGAATTGGTACTTGGTTTTTAGTTTGTAAGCTTACATATCGTGAAGACATGTGCAGTGAATGTGTAACGAAACCAGGATGAATTAAAGCAGCAGTAATATTTGCAGCGCTGTCATTTAGATCCATAGTTATAGTAATTGCCTCTCCATATTTTACTTGTATTGATGTTAAGGAGTTGAAGGTCTCTATACCCTTAATACTCTTAATAATAGGCCGGGGAATGCCTTTGAAAAGATATGCAGGTTCAAAAATTTCTACACGGTATCTAAAAATTTATAAAAGTAATATTTACTTAATTACGCCTATTAAATATTAATTCATTTATTACTTAGCTTACTCTGTAGGGTATTCACAAGAACTATTGCCACAATACTCAGGATTTGGATTGCTACCAGCGACAAAAACTGTACCATCTGGGATCAAAGTTGCAGTTGAATGATAAACACGGATGATTTTCGCTTCTGCCATCCTAGTGAAACGAGATCCAAGAGGTGCTTTAGGATCATAAAGTAATGGTATCTTTTGAGGTAAACTTGCTGAATGTGTTCTGTTGTCAATTTCACCCGTATCTATTAAAGTAATAAAATTTGATAATTTTCACGAAATATTACGACCATACTGTAAAATGTTGTAAATGCTTTAAAATTTAACATACCCCAACCAGCGAATCCTCTACCAGCACCATTTACAATAAATACTTTGCCATCAGGCATATAGATGTAATCACCCATTAAACGTCCTGTATCGAAATCTCCGAAAGGTTCTAAAGTCCAACCAAAATCTGGTTTCGCTAAGTTAAGCCTTGCACAATCTTTATCACTTTTTGCATCAGGTTTTTGTTCAGCAGATCCACCGCAAGCGATAATTTCGGCAGCATAATTATCTTCATAGTGTAATGGGGAAAGAAAAATCGTGCCGGTAGCCGGAAACGTGCGTGGACCACCAGATGTGACGATTAATATTTAAAGATTAGTAATCACATTAACAATCATTGTCATACGTTAAATTTTATTGTCACG